TGAAAAAACTTTTAGGACCCAAACGATGATAAGAAATGAAAAAAAAAAGATAAATGAAGGCCGATACACCTAAAGAATCCGGCAGTGCTGGTGCTTCAGCCAAAAATGCATTTACGTGAGTGTATAATAAACTCTAAAATTAATATGTGTGAAGGAACTGGAAGTGCTACTGCACGACTACATCGTGTTGCAAATGTATAAAGACTGCTGAGACTAACATATTTGAAGGAACTGGCTACATCAGTCAAACATGGGTTGATGTGAACGTATAAAATCTACTGGTCACGTTATAACTGGGTGAGAATACGAACCTGAATAATGCTCCCAAGAATTTATTGACCAGCTGAGTTGCTAATTTTAAGCAAAAGTGTGCAAAATATTTTCGTCGATCAGCGAAAAAATCCCGTATCAACGGTACACTGGATCGGAGATGGCTTCTTATTGCTGAAACATACGGTGACTCATCTCCAACATTTTCCACGCCATTCCAACTGAAATTTTATAATTTTCCAGGACACAAAAAGTACCTCACAAACTGATTAAAATGTTTCCAAAAAGCAACACATTTCGTCAAGCTTCTTGCTTTCGAATTCACTGCAGTATCTTTCACGGACGCCACTGCTGAGTGTTCAGCGTCTCTCATTCCACCCCCTCCCCCCCTCTTGCCCGCCCCCTTGGTTCTTCACTACAAACTGCGGGATCTCAAAAACCGAAAGGAACTTCACAGACAGAATCCAGTTATCCGATTTCCAGAGAAGCAAAATAAATGGATACAGTGTCAAGCTAAACGAAGCCCATATTCACAACAAGACACCAAGTCAAATCTGACCCAGTCACTGAAAACTTACAAGTCAAATTCAAAGGCCCCTCCCCATTCATCCTCTGCAATTGGCGAATGTATTCGGAAGTAACGCGAATGATGGTAAGTGCCAACCCACCCGCTTTCTATGATTTCCTCTTCTGTAGGTTGTTTGGAAGCAATTTGATGGTAGTCCAAATTCCTGATTTGTAACAGTACCAATTTACTTTCGAAATTAATGAATTGAGTAATAGAGAAAATGCTAGCCCCTTGCAAGAAATCGAAATATGCCTAAGCTCATAGATAAATCGAGTTCTGACAAATGCAAAAAAAGGTACTTGATTTTCATCATCGCCTGCAAAGCAGCATCGCAAGTGGACTCAACATCTTGCACCAGGACAGAAAGTGCACTATTCGATATGCTATAAAACAGCTCCATTTCCTGATTCAAATCAATGCTCTGCAAAACTGATATTAGTTCATTCATTTCTTTACCAAGTTTATGATAATAACATCAAACTGTTTGTGGAAAGTCACACAACAACTTCAAACATCTTGACCCTCCATC